TTTTTTTTTTTTTTCTGCGTACATCCTAATTCTAAGGTTCAGCTGGTCTCTCAACAAAATTGATCAACGTCTCCCAACAGGAGTCAGGGTAAGGAGGACCCTCTTACCTCGACGGAAACTAATTGGATTCATGATGACAACTGTTTTTTTTTTTTGTTTGTTTTTTTTGCTGTTTGGCTGGTGAATTCTGGATTGTCTCTAAATTCGTGTGGATGTGTCAATGCTTGACAGCGCTCAGACTGAATTTGTGGAATGTGCCATAGAACTGGACCAGCTTTTATCAGGACTGTGTACTCTCAGCACACATGGAAAAGGGAAATAATCTTGGAGAAGCTGTGAGCTCGACTTTTGGCATAAAAGGTTTAATTCGGCTGTTTTTGAGTTTCCATCAGAGGAATATATACCAGCGAGACTTTTAAGGCAGAAAACAGCAATTCACGAGTTCTGCCTGACCCAAACTGTGGCCTTGATGCCCGTACTTATCTCAACTCCTCCTGGCATGTTATGAAAATAACAAAGATGCTTTGTCTGTCTCCTCACCCCTCCCTTCCCCAAGGCCGTGGACATGTGACAGAACCTCAACAGAGCTGATGATGAAGAACACCTCTTATCTGGACAATGGCTGAGAGGGGGGCTCTGGACTATGCTACGACCTTCCCTTAATAACTCAATGTCTTCACCGGCCTATATGTACTTGTATAATGTCTATTTATGTTGCTTTGCTGTGGTAGGTTTTTTTAATGCCTCAAATTGTGCCCTGTCTAGGACACGGAGTGAGAGATCTTTTTTTATACCGTCTCTCCTCATGTTTTCTTCCCTTTTCTCATCTAAGTAAAATATCATTCTGAATAAGAATAAGAGGGCCGTGCTTTTTATAGTAGCAGCTTTGTGCACTCCGCCCATCTTTCGGACGACTCTACGTACATGTTCTCGTTGTATCTTGGTGCAATGATAATAAAGTTTATTCTGATTCTAATTCTGAATTATCTGTAATTTATCAGTTTTTCTTGATTTTAAATAGATTTTTTTGTCTCTTTAAATAAAGCAACCATTAAATTCTGAGGTTTCCTTATTTGTAAGTGAACCAACTTATAGAATCAGCAGGAGATCAGAACCCCCACTGAAAGTGCAAAGTCCTAAACCTATTGTTTCTGTATTCTTAGATTTGTTAACAATAAACAGAACCTTTGTTAACTCATTATTTGTTTCATCCAGAGGTTCTAGTCTGCCCTGACAATATCCAAACTTTTTCATCCCCATCAATGATGACTGCATTGAGAATGTTGAGGGCATCGGACACTCCTTCGTCTCCTCGGAACAATATCACTGTATCTAAGAAACAGCAGTGGGCTCGGCAGGGAGCAGCAACCCCTCCCACCTACCTTTGTTCCACCCCCATGCCTTCTGATTGGCAACCATCAGAGATATCCCAGGATGCATCTGAGCCGATATGGGCCCAGAAGATGGTGCTGGACAAGGTATCATGATTTTTGCATGTTTTTTTTCTATTGGGCAGAACAAGTGTAAAAAGTTCATGCCTTCCTGTAGAAGATCTTCTGCTTGTCTTCCCTCCTGGTAGTCCAGTCCCTAATGTTCTGTTCCTCTTGAACTTTATTCTTGGTTTGATTTTAGTTTCTCCTGGCAGCTGGATCTTGCAGCTCCTGACATTTTGACGACTCCTGGTTTCTGGTTCTTTTCAGTTATCCATCTCCTCTATGTTGGATTGCTTCTTTATCTTCTTCAGTTCATTGCATGTTTAACCTTGGTTCTTTGTGTTTCCAGCAGCAGCAGTTCAGTGACAAGTTGCCAAGTCAGGGCTCTGCCATCACTTCACTGCAGCAGGAAGCCACCCAGCCACCAGGGGGCTTCACAGACTTTCCCACTGTCTGTAGCAAACTGTCGGGCCAACGGGCCTACCTGCAGAGTCTGGATCACAGCAGTCGAGCATGGGTGCTGTCTTCAGGAAAGTCTCAAGAATCAGACAATATTTCAAGTCTCCTGGAGGACAGAGGGAGCAACATATGGTACAACCCGATCCCTGAGGAAGAGGATTCAGGCTTACGCAGGAAGGAGGAGGTATGGAGGAAGAAGAACGAAAAGGTGGAAGGAGGAGAATGCTGGAACAGTGATTGTCCACAGGAAGGTGCCAATCCCATTGTCAGTCACCAGACTGATGGTACTGAAGCAGAAATCCCAGGTAAATATGATTCTTCCAGTTGTTATGACACATTGAGGCAGTTTGTTCAATGATCATCTGTATTTCTCAGATTTTTCCTCTTCAGACACTAGCCCTGCTTCTCTAAAGAAAGGCGGTGGGACTGGTAGTATGATGGACAGATTGAGGTCTCCTGGTACAATGAGGAAACTCTCGTTTAAGATGAAAAAACTTCCTGAGTTGCGCAGAAAACTCAGTCTTCGTTCATCGTCTTGCGCTCAACGCCAGACGAAAACAGACTCCAAGGACGAGTCGCCCAATAAAAATGAAGGATCATCCTTGGCACTGTTGAATCAGAATGTCCTCAGCCGGTATCATCTGGATAGCTCCACCCCCCCGGCCCGACCACTGCTGCGGTCATCTAGAGGACGCTCAGTCAGCAAAGGAGGTGAACATTAATTGACTGTTCAGAGAACTTAAAACTCACTCATTGATCAACATTTTCAATATTTGCTCCTGAGCTGTCACAATCTTTTGATTTAGGTTTTTATTAATTTGATTTATTACTAAATACTAAATATCGAATA